GGGTTTTACAGCAATTTGAAGCTAAGCTGAATAGAAAGTAAAGACTTGGTTACTTTTTTTGTTTGTAGGTACTGTAACATATATTCATAGTTACATACATGCTTTTTAAATGCTTTATCTTTTCTTCTAAGTGTATTTTATTATGTTTCTATAGTTTAGGTCTGAAGTAAAAGACCAAAAAGTAATATTTTTGTCTTTGTAAGCTACAGATTGTGGCATATTCTTTTTGTTTGTTTGTTTTTGTGTTTTCATAACCCTTTAAAAATGTATAATACATTCTTAGCTCAGGTCAAACAAAAACAGACCTCTTGCATATAGTTTGTCAGCACCTGGTTTAGACTCTTTTGACCTCAGTTGTAAATCTGAAATCATCATTAAATTTTGCTTTAACCCTTAATGATATGCACCATTGAAACAATAGTTACAGATTCCAAGTTTTATTCATTTTGACCATTGTCCTTGTGTCATTGCAAATGTGCCTACTAAATTTGCGTTGATTGTTGAATATATGGAAGGTAAATTTTAAATTTTAAATTTCGAAGGCAGAAGACCATTACTTTATGTATAAGCTTAATTATCCTTTTTTTAATGTATATACTATGAATTTTGCTTTCAAAAAGTACAGTAAAGGAGCACTTGGGTGGCTCAGTTGGTTAAGTGTCTGCCTTTGCCTGGGGTCATGAACTCAGGGTACTGGGATTGAGCCCTGTATCAGGCTCCCTGCTGAGTGGGGAGTCTGCTTCTCCCTCTCCCTCTGCCCCTCCCCCCTGCTCTCGTGCTCTCTTGCTCTCGAATAAATAAAATCTTTAAAAAAAAGTACAGTAAATATAATCACTACTATTGTGAGGATTTTACATAATCTCTGTGCTTTTATTATAAAAAAATACTCATTATGTAACAGAGTCCCAAGCCTTAAAGATTTCCTCTAGTACTGATATTGAGCGCTCAGAAGTCTAGCACTCTGTTATCAAGAATTGTTATCAACCCAGAAGTCAGCAAAGAATTGGAAACTGATCACTGATTGAAAGAACTAAGGAGGGACGCCTAGGTGGCTCAGTCTGTTAAGCGTCTGCCTTCCCAGCTTGAGTCCTGATCCTGGGGTCCTGGGATTGAGCCCCTGAGCAGGGAGCCTGCTTCTCCCTCTCTCTCTGCCTGCAGCTCCCCCTGCTTGTGCACTCTCTCTCTCTCTGTCAAATAAATGACTAAAATTGTAAAAAAAGAAAGAAAAACAATGCATTTAATACACCTAACCTACCAAACATCATAGCTTAGCCGAGTCTAACTTAAACATGCCCCGAACACTCACATCAGCCTATAATTGGGCAAATCATCTAACACAAAGCCTATTTTATAATAAAGTGTTAAATATCTCATGAAATTTATTGAATACCGTACTGAAAGTGAAAAACAGAATGGTTGTATGGGTACAGAATGGTTTTAAGTGTATTGGTTGTTTACCCTTGTGATTGAGTGGCTGTGTGCTTAATCACTCTTGCACCACTTTGAAGTTGAAAATTGTTAAGTTGAACCATTATAAGTTGGAGATTGTAGTACTTTCCAAAGATGCTGACTGTCCCTTCACCTGTGTGTTTCTTAAATCTTGGCGAAAGGAGTGTACCTGGCACTCAGGATACATAGTTAAGGTGAGTGGAAAGTTATTCATGAATAGTTCGTGCCAACACTCCTACAGAACAAACTGTTCGAACCATTCTTGACTGTTTAAGCTAGCATATTGAATTTATACATATTTATATGTATATGTTAATATGTAATATTACAAATATATATGTTATGTATATTACATATATACTCTTTAATCTAAAATCATTTCCTTCTCAGTCTAGCACTCAATGAATTTTCTCATGTATTCTCCATATTTTTGTCAACATAAATTTGTAAAGTTTCAACTGTTTCGCTATATAAGTCTTGCTATACAAGTTTGACATAATTGGCTTCCAGAATATGCTGAAATCCGATTCTGTTATAAGTTTAGAAAAAATGATAAGTGTTGGGAATGGGGAATAAGAAAAATTGGCCTCTTCATGCAAGGTGAAGCCTCCACAGATTAGGAGAGATCTATATAGATTTCCATTAAGGCAGAAACAGTCTTTTCAGTTCAGTTTAGTGGGGGCTGCTTTTGTTTGATGAATGGAGCTCAGGGAAAGGTAATGAGTTAAGGGTATTCAAGTTATTTGAATTCTACCACATGCCCATTTCACTTCTTTGGTTCTGCTCTTTCCTGAACAATGCCTTAATCTTCATAGAAGATTTCTGACAAGACTATGGAATCAACTGACATTGTAATTTAGCAACATGGGCCCCAACTTTGAGTGTGTTTGGCTCTTTCAGCCCCATGGCTGCAAAGAATAAATTCTTCTGTTACTATCAGAGGAAGTCCTTAATTTTTGGTTCCTACTTCAAGAATTTAGAAATCTGATCTTATGTCATTCTCTTTTAAGCTGTCCAGTGTTAGTATAAATAAAAATTCCACCCCACACTTCTGCCTGAACCTTTGCCTTCCATGGTCAAATCATTCTACATGACTACCGTCAATCATTTTTTACCGTATGTGTGCTATATGCACTGTGTTCCATAAACCCCAGAAGGACTTCTGTTGGTACCAGCTGGATTTTTACTGTTTTCTCAGCCCTGGTTAGGACTAATCCAACTTGTTTCTATTTCCCTGACGGTCTGTTATCTGCAACTGTTCTTGGAACTTGTTTCACAATTCTTAATTACCATCAAATACAACTAACTAACTATATATGACTAATTTAAACAGAAGGAAGGTTTATAAAAAGGATCTGGTGTCCCAGTTTTATGAGCCTGGGAGGCTAACTAGCTAATAAGAATGTCCATCTTGCGTTGCAGAGCTAGTCCACTAGCCTGCTAGTATTATAGAAGAGAGCCACCACATCACCCCACTGATACCACACACTGCCACACTGGATGTTGGCCCTACGAGCCCTGTGTTCATATTTCTAAGAGAGTGTGTGTGTGTGTGTGTGGTGATGGTGGTGGTGGAGGGAGACTAAGCAAGTAAGTATCAGGTAGGTTCAGCTTCTACAGTGGGATGTAGGCTCTCTACTTCAGAAAGTGGGGGTGTCTCAGAGGGAGTGGTTTCATATGCTAAAAAAATAAAAAATGTCCACTGCATAAGTCACTGACATATGGAAAGTAATGGAATCAATTAGGAGAAAACACATTGCATTAAATTTCACATTTATGTTGGTTAGTTTTTAATGTTAGTCTGGGTTCTCCAAAAATCAGATGCCATAATGGCAAGAGATTTATGGAGGAAAACTAGTGGAGATTTTCAAGCAGGAGAGTGGGAGCAAGAGCACTCCCTGGAAAGGTAAGATGTAGAAAACTAAAGGGAAACAATCTACAGTGAATAAAGATGAAGTAGATAGATTTTTATAAAATGGCTATAGGAGGGGGATGGGATTTCTGAGCTAATCTTACTTACTGATGAAGAATTTGAAGTAAGTTTAGGAAAGATTGGAAGAACCAGAAAAGGAGTGAAGGCAGCATGGAGATTAGAGTCACTTCCTAAGAGATTACTCCCTTAACTTTCCTTCCCATAGTAAACATCTAAAAGTTGCTGATTAAACCAGTAAAAAGCATAGCTGCCCTGAGAATCCAAAAGTTAGCTTCAATAGTAGAAGCAATGGAAAGGGAAAGCTGCAACTACATGCAGTTTGATGAAAGTGAAATGCAGTTAGTAAGAAGATTGATTTTTTAAGGGTTTATTTATTCATTTAAGTAATCTCTACATCCAAATTGGGGCTCAAACTCACTACCCTGAGTTAAAGAGTAGCAGGCTCCTCTGACTGAGCTAGCCAAGCGCCCCTGATTTTGATATTTGAAAGCAAAGGTGCTATTGAGGGGATTTATGATTAACAGCATTGTGGATAGGAAACATCATCTCGCAGAGAAATATTTTTGGAATCGGGCGCCAGGGTGGCTCAGTCCTTAAGCGTCTGCCTTCGGCTCAGGTCATGATCCCAGGGTCCTGCGATCCAGACCCGCATTGGGCTCCCTGCTCTGCGGGAAGCCTGCTTCTCCCTCTCCCACTCCCCCTACTTGTGTTCCCCATCTCACTATGTCTCTCCCTGTCAAATAAATAAAATCTTTAAATATATATATATATATTTGGAATCAGATTCCAAAGGAGGAACTCGCAACCCAGTTGTGATACTACTGAACCTTCAACAGATTGCATGGCAAGTGGTGGGTTGAACTCACGAACCTTGTAGCAGAAATAGGAGAGAGGCCAGATTCGAGAAAAAAAACAATTTTTTTTTTAAAGTGAGGATGGGAATGTAACTGAAAAGGACTGCTAATACTGTCAATGTAAGCAGCCTTCATTTATCATTTCATATAACCCTTTCATGATCAATTCCCCAAGCCCCTAACTTGTTTCCACTAGTTTCTTTTTGTTGTTGTTGTTTCCTCTTGAGGAAACCTGAGAGGACCCAGAGTCTATATCATCCTGAAGTAGAGATTTAAGGCTGAATTTCTGTTCATGTTTAGTAGGTAAAGGGGTAAAAGCTGGGCAATTCTTGGGAAAACCTTAGATTTGCCCCCAAAATTATTTTCCTTTAGAGGGGTGGGGCGCTGTGTTTAAGATCAAGAATGTAAAAGGCCCTAAACACTGTCTTTTGGCTTAGAAAGTCCCCACAGCGGGGAGAAAACAGCAGGAAGAGCTGTCAGGTCTTCAGTGGCGGCCGCGGGACGGAGACCGGGCAGGGAAGGGGCTGGGCCAACTGCCCCTCCCCCCCCCCCCCGCCCCAGCCCCAGGATTCCGCGGAGAGCGAGGCCTGCGCGCAGCGTTACCACGTGACTCCTTCGCCTCCGGGGCACCGACGCATGCGCGCGGTGCTCTCGACGAGGCGGCCCTGGTGCTGGTGGCGGCTGCTGCGGAGTCTGTGGGACGGAGACGGTGGAAGTGCCATCTTCGGCTCGGTTGGCCCAGACTGCGGCTCATGGCATTGAGTGGCGTCCGTCGTCAGGTCAGCTGAGGCGGGCGTCTTGGAATTGGCTGGGCGGGGTGCGGGGGGGTGATTGGCGGGGCAGGAAGGGGCCTGCCTTGTTTCAGGCCGCACTGGGGTTGCGGCCTCCCTCAGCCGCCCTGTTTGAGGCCTGGCCTGGCCTGGCCTGGGCTCCCACCTGTCCATTCCTTTCTCCTTCCTACCTGTTGGGTGGAGCAGGTAGAGGTTTCTTTTCTTAGTTAGACCAAACGTTTCTCTGAGGAGTCCGTCTTATGAAGAAGGGCGGGGAAATGCGGGCCTCCACGTTGACTTAGGAAGCGTTTTGGGGGTTAAGTCTGAAGCCCTAGGTTCTCCAAGAGCTGGAAACCAGTGTGCTGGGACGACTGGAAGTGGAAGGGGCTCAGTAGTAGCCGTCAGAGGATTGAGAGAATTCAAATACTGTTGAAAGCTTGTAGGCGCCATGTAGTTCGCGTTCCGCGTTTCGACTACACAAGCCACACTGTTGGGACCCTGAGTCACAGCACCCCAAAGGTCAGTCAGAGCTTTTGGCAGCATAGCGTAATCAGAAAAATCAGACATTAAAGATCCTAGTAGGATCTTTTAAAGACACCTATTTAAAAACCGTATTTACCTTTTGTAATCAGAAACCAGCCCTGGTGTTTTTCTCGCTCTGAAATCACATCTTTAATTAAAGTCGTACTGCTCTTACTGTGTTATTGATGATATTACAATACTATATTATTTTATGCCGATTAAATTGTTTTTAGTTTTATGTTCATGTTGCCTTCTCTTTAAGGACTTGAGGTTATTTGGCAACTGATCCAGTCTGTTCAGAAATACTTCAAACTTTTTTTTACAGCTGGAAAGGTTGAAGCTTAAGAAAACACATTTTATACAGGGAAGTATGGAGTTCATGTTGGAACTTAAGTGTTTTGGTCTCTCTGGGATCTTAAGTGGGTTGAAAAAAACAACTGTCAGGTACCCCCCTCCCCCCTCCCATTTATAACCTCATTCTAGGGTTGCACAAGTTGGAACTTTCCACTGTTCAGCTTCTGGTAGGGATAAAGTGAACGAAAGGAGTTGTGCTTAAGAACTCTAGTTCCTAGATTGTGAACTCTGGAATAATTAGGGGTTGAACCAAAGATGCCTAATTAGGTAGTATGAGATATTTGAAGTGAGAATTGAAAAACAGAATTTTTGTAGTGTCAGAGTATTTGGTAATATTTTTGCTTGCGTACCTATAGTTGAGTAAGAAAAATAATTTTACAAATCAAATGATAAAAGGTGTGTGTACACGCACGTCTTAAAAGAGAAAGAACGGGCACCTGACCACCTCAGTCAATAGAGCACGTGACTTTTGATCTCAGGGTTATGAGTTCAAGCCCCACATCTGGTGTAGAGATTATTTAAAAATCTTAAAAAATAAATAAGGAGAAAGAACAGAACCTTTTGTGGTATGTTAATAACTAATCTGCATGAAACATAGGATTTTGTGTGTGTGTGTCTGTGTGTGTGAAAAATAGTCAAAAGGAGAAAGAAAGTAGTAGTTCCAGTCAAATGGTGATTTTTTTTTTCCCCCAAAGACTTGGAGGACTTACATTTATTTATGTAAATATATGTATGTAAAGTTAAGTTTCTGGAACATATTAAGTGTTTAATATGTGGAATTTAAAAAAGGTGAATCTGTGAACATTCTTCTTAGCCTCTAAAACAGTTCCAAAACCAGTGGTTATGATGGTCTCTTAACAACTTGTCTTCAAATTGGCTTATCTGTGGATGAGGGACAGAGTAACTTGTAGATTGCAAAGCTAGTTGATTTGCAATACTCAAATTACTGACTTTTTAGTCCTTAGTGATGACTTTAGATACTCTTGTGTTGCTCTGTTTATGAAAAGAATAATACATGGTATGATTTTGAGTGCCTATAGAGAGTTGAGAGAGGTATTAAATTAGACTTCACATTTTTAATTAAGTATGGGTTAAGTGATCCTCCAAAAGACCTTTTAGATTTTAAGATGGCATGCTAAATTGTTAGTGAAATGTTTAATGTATGCTATAACTGAACTAAAATTTGAATATATGATATAGAACTATTTTTTAATGTACTGCATAGTCACATTATAATTTATCATGTTTCCTTTCATGCTTGTGGACTTTGGGCCTCTAATAAGATTTTATAAGAAAGTGAAATGTAGTAAAAAGGCATTATTTGAGAAAAGGAGGAAAGTTTTGTTAGTCTAAGAGAATAGAGCAAGCCAAGGTTCGGACATGAAAAATATATTGGGCTCTGTAAATAGCAAGGAGGAGGAATACTGTAGGATTAGTATGTTTGAAAAGTTAAGTTGGGGCCAGATTTGTCACTCACTTTTTCAACAGGGATTTAGTGTGCTGTTATATACTAGACACTGTTTTAGGTTCTGGGAATACAGTAGTGAATAAAACCATGGTCTCTGTTCTGTATTTAATATTATAGTAATATTAATTTATCTGTAGCATCTCAAATTTTTTGGCTGCGACCCATAATAGGTTGTACATGTAATATTGCATCCCAATAAACACCAGTTGCATTCTGTATGTATTTCAACAATGTCCTCTCAATGTGTGCGTGAACTCTGATGTACTGTTTTCAATTCTGTATTTTTCCATTAAAAAAAATGAGGAGCTGATTTGAAGCAATCTGAAATTTGAAAAACATTACTCAAGAGGCGATATAAAATAGGGGCGCCTGGCTGGCTCAGTCAGTAAAGCCTGCAGCTCTTGATCTCTGGATTGTGAGTTAGAGCCCCATTTTGAGTGTGGAGATTGCTTAAATAAACTTAAAAAAAGAAAGGGGAGATGATAATTACTTAAACTGTAGTAATAGCAGTGTGAGTGAAGAGGATAGTTAATCTTTATGGCAAGGTATCTGTGATTATTTTGTGAATGAGGCTTAGAGAGGTGAAGTATCTTGCTCAGTGTTCCCTAATGAGTAACTGGGCCAGATCTTTAATTCAGTTCTGTCCGACTCTAAAGCCCAAGTACTTTATTTTTTTTAAAACAATTTTATTTATTTATTTGACAGAGAGAGTGAGAGAGCACAAGCAGGGAGAACAGTAGAGGGAGAAGGAGAGGGAGAAGCAGGCTCCCCTATGAGCAGGGAGCCTGATGCGGGACTCCATTCCAGGACCCTGGGATCATGACCTGAGCCAAAGGCAGACGCTTAACCATCTGAGCTACCCAGGCGCCCCTAAAGCCCAAGTACTTTATTATACCACTTCTCATGTGGCTATGAAAATAATATTAGTTTTTAGTCTGGGGGGACTAAGGACTCAGATGCTATTTTTTTATTATTCAGTGAATTGAGTGTGTAGTACTAGTCCTCCCGGTGTACTCTATCCCTATATATTGGTAGATCTGGTGCTTACTCACAAGAAACTTGTAATCTAGTAGGAAAGAGGATATCGAACAAGTACCACAAATGTGATTTGTGCTATGGAGAAAAAGACAGAATGGTGTGGAAGCATCATTGAGGGAAGCTAACTAATTTGGAGTGTATGGGAAAACTTTTTAGGAAGTGATGTTTAAACTTCACGCACAGAGGAATGAGTAGGCTTCAGCTAGATTGAGGGTTCTAAGTGGGGATGAGGTAGAGGGGTAGGAGAGTATTCCACATGAAAGAAACTGGGTACACTAAGGCTTTGAAGTAGAAAGGAGCTGAACTGGAAAACAAAACAAAACCAAACTTCAACAAAAATAGAATTTCTTGGCTGCAGAAGTTTTTAGAGAATGGGGAGAGTTTTGGTGTTAGCATGGGTTAAAATCCTGTCTCTTCCTTACTAACCATATAACTTTTGACAAATTATTTAATCTTAGTTTTGTTTTTCCCCTTCTTAAAAATGGGTAGGTGGCATTCAGCAGAATACTTGTTCAATAAATGGTGTCTCAGGATTATCACAAATAGCTAGTAATTGAAATCATAGCAGTATATGATGACATGCTTTCATTCATTCATTCTTTCACAAATAAGTGTCTTCAGTGTGTCATGCAACTCAGTATGCAATAATTGAATTTTGTGTGTGTGTGTATAATCACAGCAAATGTCACAAAAGAATATACCTTTGCTATGTGTGAAGCACTCTGATAAAATTTTTTTCCATTTTGGTTTTCATTTGCAAAAAGAGAAAAAGCTGGTCTGAAGCAGTCTGCAGTTTGAAAAATACTGGTCTAGTGGGGAGATAATGATTACTTAAACTACAGCAGTAGTACTGTGAATAAAAAGAAGGGGATGGTTAATTCTTATGTTAGGGTATACTAAATGAGTAAATTTACTATGTTATAGTATAATATGGATAAAAGAAAAAATAGAGGACGGTAAAGGGGATCAAATATGGTAAAAGGGATCATGTATGCCAGGGATGGGAGCAAGTTACAATTTTAAATAGGATTGCCCAGGTAGGTCTTACTGAGAAGGTGACCAGTATTTCTTCCTCCCTCCCTCCCCCCCTTCCTTCTTTCCTTCCTTCCTTCCCTTTAAGATTTATTTATTTGAGAGAAAGAGAGAGGGGGTGGGTTTGGGAGTGGGTGTTGGGAGGGAGAGGGAGAGAATCTCAAGGAGACTCTCCGCTGAGCACAGAGCCCACACCAGGCTCAATCTGAGGACTCTGAGATCATGACCTGAGCCAAAATCAAGAGTCAGACACCCCGAGAAGGTGAGATATCAACAAAGGAGAAGGTAAGGAAGGCATCTGGGAGATCACTCTGGGTAGAGGAAACAGCCATTCAAAGGCTCTAAGTAAGCCTGGAGAATGTGGTCTGTTTTAGAGAAAAGAAGATGTCAGTGTGGCTGTGGGTGAGTGAGGACAAGAGTAGGAGAAGATGAGGTCAAAAGATAAATGGTAGGAGGGGGACAGTGAGCCATTTCAAGGCCATTGACTTTTACAATCTGAGATAGAGCAGTGGAGTGACATGGTCTTATTTATGTTTTAGAAAGAATACTATCTGCTATGCTGAGAATGGACTGGGGACAGGGGGGTAGGGGTCGG